ATGGAAATAATGATTCAAATGATCAATCATAATTCATCATTTGAAAGTTGTTTTGACAGAATGCACTCCTGTTCTGTTGGGCAAACTGACAGCATGTGTGTTGTCAAAATGTGTGTTGCTAAATTGTCAGTTTGAGGGCTTTTTCTTTTAATTAAAAGTCCTGTCTTGCCATTTTTCTTGAAAAAATGGTTGAGGGGCTATCTCTTTAAAGTTTTCTTTCTAATCCCACTTTGACTCCCCTTTGCACAGTCTTTCTAAATCATCTTAAAAAATTCTGGCATTAAACTAGAATGAGAAAATAAGCAACAACCGAACCAAAGAAATCAAGGACATTTATGTATATAGTTAGGAGTTCTTAATTTTGTGGTCTTCTTTTGAGAAGAAAAACAGAGGCTTGGCATCGGGCACCTACTTCTTTTCCTTTTCAGATGCATTTTCCCAACTGTACATTCTCTGCACAAGCTCCTTTTGTTCACAGCCGTGAGCTGAATCTCCATGTTACAGCAGTTGCCCAGATGTTCCCTATCAAACTCAAATTCATGCCAGCAAACTTTGGCACACATGAAAGTACACTGAGTAATGGGCCTCCGCAAATACTGTTTTCCTCCTCTGATTTCTGCAAGCATTTTAAAATGCTAATGAGTTCCACTCAGCTGCAATCTGAAAGAGACTGCAGAGCAGGGCTATGAGAGTGTCCAGCAAATTAACAGTTAAGGTCTAGGAGGCGCCTTGATGCTGTGGTGCCCTGAGGGTCTTGTCTGGAGTTTTCTAACCTTGAACCACTGTCACTAGCTTTCCTGCTAATAGCTTTCCAGCAATTGAGCTAAAGCTGGAGAATTTTGCTTTCCAGAGTGAAACTGTAGTCACTCTGTAGTTAAAACTTCATTTTCCCTCTCTTAGACTGCAAAGGATGATATTGACAGGGCTCATGGCAAAATATTCCTAAGCAGGGCCGCAATTATGTAATGGAACATGCATATTCTGAAATTAAAGGACAACATTGGTTGGGAGTCAACTTAAGAGAATACCCCTTGCTCGTGAATGGCCTGTCAGAATAATTCTAAAGAGTCTACCATATTAGCCTAATTAAACTTTTATAGGTAAGTTTATTTATTTTATTTATTTATTTTATTTTTTAAATTTTTATACCGCCCCCTCTCCCGAAGGACTCAGGGCGGTGAACAGCCAAAATTAAAAAACATACAATATAAACATTAAAATACTATAAAACAAAATTAAATTTATCTTTGGCTTCCCCCAAATTTAAAAACCCCTTACCCATAAAATTCATCAATTAAAAGATTTTTAACCCAGCCCGGCTTGCTGAAATAAAAAAGTCTTCAGAGCCCGGTGGAAGGTACGGAGGTCCGGGATCAGTCGTATCCCTGGGGGTAGCTCATTCCAGAGGGCGGGTGCCCCCACAGAGAAGGCTCTTCCCTGGGGGGTCGCCAGCCGACATTGCCTGACTGACGGTACCCTGAGGAGGCCCTCTCTGTGGGAGCGTATTGGCTGGTGGGAGGTTATCGGTGGCAGAAGGTGGTCTCATAAATAACCGGGCCCTAAGCCATGGAGTGCTTTGAAGATGAGAACCTATACCTTGTAGCGCACCCAGAAGACCACTGGAAGCCAATGCAGCTCGCGCAGGAGAGGTGTCATGTGGGAGCACCATGTCGCCCCCATAAGTACCCGCGCGGCTGCATTCTGCACCAGTTAGAGCCTCCGAGTGCTCCTCAAGGGGAACCCCATGTAGAGAGCGTTGCAGTAGTCCAGGTGGGAAGTGACGAGGGCATGAGTGACCGTGCATAAGGAGTCCCGATCCAGAAAGGGGTGCAACTGGCATATCAGGCGAACCTGATAGAAAGCCCCCCTGGCCACGGCCGTCATATGCTCTTCTAAAGACAGCCGTGCATCCAGGAGGACACCCAAGTTACGTGCCCTCTCCGTGGGGGCCAATGTCTCGCCCCCAATAGTCAGCGATGGCACCAGCTGACTATATCGGGATGCCGGCAACCACAGCCACTCAGTCTTGGAGGGGTTGAGTTGCCTCAAAATTAATAATTATTAGTGGGGCTTGTGACAATAATAAAACCAAATAACAGAAAAGAAATTGACCAGATAAATATTCAAGGCACCTAATCAGCATGACATTTTGAGGCATGCCCTTCTGTTATCTGAAGAATGAAAGCTGGATAAAACAGAGTTTATCCAGCAGCAAATTCCTCCCACCCCCAAAAGATTCTCAGGTATTAGCATAGCTTTATAGAGACTGCTGAACACAACCCTCAAAAGATCTCAGCATTGTTTCGGCTTCAGAAATAACTTTATTCAATATTTCATAAAAAATTTAAAAGTCTGGATCTGAATTCAAGAAAAAAAATATTATACTGAAACAGAAGCATAACTTGCAGTACATATCCATTCCCAAGATTTAAGAGTTTCCATCAGTGTGTCTGTGAACATAGTGATATTTTTCATGTTTTGTCATCTGAAAGGTCTCATCACCGAGTATGCAATAAACTCATGTCTGTGATCTTGAAAGAGTCCTTCCATTTATAAACACAGTGACTGGAATTAGGTAACACTTCACACATGGTCTGATATAAATGTTTACAATACCTGGGGATGTGATCGATACCTGTGGATCAATTATACCAGAGGAATTTTTCCAGCAAAATTTCAAATGAGTGCAGCTTCCATACTCTTTTCCACAGTTATACTATTTGGGGTTTGTGTTGTAACTCCAAGTCATAATCAGATGGAAATGAATTTTGAAAGCTCTCATGCGGGCAAAAACAGTTCCTGAGTAAACAACAAAAGTAGGGGGTGATAAAATAAATATCCGGAGAGAACTCTACAACCGTAGTTGCTCTGTGATCAGTATTTGCTCAGGGATTCCATTGAACTTCTAATTATGTTATTACAATTCACTTCATCTCATCTCATTAAGACAAAGGTCACCACACAGGATGAAGTAAAAACACATTTTTATAGCATTAATTTATATGAAGGATGCATGGGAAAACTTCCTGAAGGAAGTTTGTTGGTGTTTCTCACTTGAAGTCATTTGTGATTTCTGTCTGCGAATAAAAATGCCACCCTCTTGCTTTTTGGTCATAATAATCTGACACTAGTTATGTAGAGAAAAACTTAATAATTGACATGTTGATACTGTTTTGTATTCCAGCCTGCTAGCTGGATTGAGCCAGCTCATCTTGTAATTCCTGTCACTTAAAACTGCTGCAAAAAAGGTCATAAAATCAGGTTGATCACATGGGTGCCTCACTTTACACCTGTCACATTTTACAACTGTAATTGTAAAATTGTCCATTATGATCATAAATTGAGGACTACTTGTATATAACTGGCATTTTGACTACTAATGATTTTTACTTATATATTAACGTAAATGAAATGAAATGTAGTTTTAGCCAAGCAACATCCATCACTTTTGAAATAAGAGTGCCTTGCCTTTCTAATCAAGATTAAGGAAAAGCTTAAACGTTTTGCATTCTGTTCTAATCTTTCCTATTGCAGATTTATAAAACTGAATCTAAAATATGCTTAAAGAGAGTCAGGGGCATGTGTGGGATGTGGGGGGAGGATGGTCAACAACATCAAAATGGAAGGAACAATTGGTTAATTAAGCCCCATTTTCCCCTCTGAAAACCTCTAGTGAGAGGTTTGATCAAGAAAAATTGCATTATCTTGGAGAAAATATTTCAGGGAGCTGTACCAATCTGGGCTTGGCAATTGGGTAAAACTGAAGTGGAAGTTTAAATGATAAAAATTGGGGTGCAGTGTCATTCACTTTTTCCATACTGTTCCTAAGTGCCCTCTCCTCCCAACACCTATTTTTGTATCCTCTCTCTATTCTACTTTCAATTAATATAACTACTGAAAACTCAGGCCCCAGTCAAGTATGAACATATTATTAATGAAATGGCATTTGTTGTGACTCTTCTATTGGTTGATCAAAGGACACCTGAATCAGGAGTAGATTGCTCTAATGCTTGTTTTACTTACATTTTTAGAATAACTCCAATAAGTTTGAATTAAACATATGTACTGTAGGTAGACCACGGCAATTGAGTAACAATGCAACATTACAGAAGAATGTAATAAATCAATAACAGTATTTCTCCTTGCCAAAATACAGACTTTGTTATATTTAAAATCTAGGTGCTATTGTTGTTTTAGTGTAAGCAGAATAAAATCTGTCACAACGTCTGTCAAAGCAACCTCATATTGTCTGTCTACTTCGGGGTAGGTGACATTGGTGGACATGTTGAGAATCCGAACATCTCATTGCAAGCTGTTCAGTTTGCTGTTCCCAGCCATCAAACAAAACTACAAGTTAGTGTCTTCATCATTACCATTCAAGATGTCCAACATGTAGTTCCTCCAACACTTAAGCTCTCAATTCAATGGTTTTACCTAAATAACATCACAGTACATCCTATAATTCGTCTCTCTTACCGATACAATAACAATTTAAATTCAAGACTATAAAAATCACTATTATTGTTATATTATCTACTTTCCCATTCCCATTCATTAATCTACCTTATTATATATATTTACTAATATTTACATCATCATCATTCATCTTTAACCATCATCTCTTAATCTTTTCCCATTTTCTAATAGCTCAACCCTTTATCTTGCTCTAACTTCTCAATTCTCTTTTTTCCCCTTTTTGTTGTACTTTTTGAGCATCCCTCACCAAGACTTTCCCTTGTCTCTCCCAGATATTTCCCTTTTCCCCTTTTAACTGTTTCTTTTTTAGGGGGATTTTTTCCCCTTTCCTCTCTACTCTTTTTACATTCCCAAATTTTTTTATAATATTATCTATCTGATTTTTATTTTTTAATATTTTCTCTTCAACATTGTTAACTTCTTACTTTTCATTTACAATTCCCTTTTCAAACTCCTTTTCACTTTTTCTATATCTTTCAGTGAATTTTCTGTTTCTTATTTGCCCAATAAAGATTCACGCATACTTTTAAACATCAAAATTAACTTTTTATATATCTGCAACTCCATTTTGTAGCAGTTTAAAAGATTATTAAAACCTCCCCAATTGTATCTCTTTGCATTTAGCCAAAATTTAAAGTCTATTTAATTTTCTTATATCTCCTCTTCTTTTCTTCTTTTTCTTCTTCAATTATTCCTTATTCATCAAATATTCCAAATTTAAAATGATCTCCGAAATTATTAATTGTCCAAATTTAACAACAGTCAAATCCAATTAAAAGGCTATCTTCCATGAGAGAAGCAAAATGAAACAAAATCTCAGATGTAAAACACAGTCACTCCTTAAATATTCTCACAGTGTCCAAATTATCTTCTTCTCTATGGCCAAGGTCAGGGCTTCCAGCTGCTATTTCTTCTGTTTTGTCTATTTAAGTACAGTATTACAGTACTTTTTCTTTCCTCCAGCAGATGGCACTCTTCGTTTCTATTCCATTGCAAAATAGTCTGTTAAGTCCAATTAATTATCAAAATATCCAGAAATTTTTTAAAATTCTCCTATAAGTTGTTGTTTTCTTCCGAAAATCACTCCCCCCCCCCTTTTGAAATATTTTGCTTTTCCCAATTTTCCAGATCTAAAACTTCTTTTTAGGCTTTTTGTATTACAGTCCCCACTTTTTCTTTTTTCCGTATGTGTGGTTCCCCCCCCCAAATGCCAGATAGCCACTAGTCCAAGCTCAAGGATTTCTTTTAAGATTCCAATTTCAATTTTTTCTTAGTATAAATTGGCAATTATCTCACCCAGTTCTAGCACTCCATCCAAATGCTGCTCCAGCTCAATTCTTAGGTCCGGTTGTCCCAGCTTCAAGGAGGCCATCGTAAGATGGCCGCTACCCCTGCTGCCACTTCGGGAGAGCTGTTTCTGTTCCAGCAAGGAAATTGCCAATTCCTCACGGTCCACGAAACACCTCTCCTTCCTTCACCATCCCTGCAAGACGGCTATGGCTCAAAAGCAACCCAGGAGCGGTTCATCCAGCTGGATTTCATGCAGCTCATCAGAGCCCGCTATTTTCCAGTCCGGTCCTGCTGTGAAGTCAACCGGAAGTTCCTGAATCACTTTGGTTTTGAAGGAAAACTTTTTATCTCTATCAGAGAAAGCATGTCAAAGATTCACCATCTGATGTAGATTATTCAGACTGTTTACCTTATATGATTCATGAGATAAACTTTCTATATTTGCATTGAGTATCCATTTGAATTCTATTTTATATCTATGCCATTCAAGGAACAATCTTTAATGCTACATTTCAGCAGCTACTATAAAGGAAATCCCTTTTTGTGGACTAAGCATTGACACTTGTGGTTGGTGATGAGTGATGATATAAATCCTGGTTCAAACATTTCATAAATGATATCCTTTCTTGTATGACCTCTCATGGCTGCTTCCTTTAGTTTCTTAGATTGCTCAGATCAGTACTTTTATCTTTTCTTGTCTCTCTCTGGAACTTTGCATTTAGTTTTTGCATTTCTTCCCTGTCACCAATGGCTTTTGTTTTCCTTTTCTCTTCTGCAGTCTCTATTGTAATTTCTGATATTCATCTGGCCAATTTTGTTGGCTTCTTGTATGCAATATTTGATTGGGCTACTTCAATTATGGTTGTTTTTATTTCTTCCCATAGCTCATCTGGTTGTCTTTCTGTGATGTTGAGCAATTCAAATCTGTTAACTTCAACTACATATGCTGGGAGAATCTTTTTGACATCAAAGGTTACACCAAAAGGCAATGTGAATCTAGTGAAAATAGAAGAAAATGATTATAGTAAGATATTTAACTTCCTAGGTTCACACATTCACAGGCAGCCTTAAAATAAAGAAACATCTGCTACTTGGATAAACCTAAACAACATATAGAGAGGTATCACACTGACAACAAAGGTATATATTGTCTAGGCCAGGGGTGAAATCCAGCAGGTTCTGACAGGTTCTGGAGAACCGGTAGCGGAAACTTTGAGTAGTTTGGAGAACTGGCAAATACTACCTCTGGCTGGCCCCAGAGTGGGGTGGGAATGGAGATTTTGCAATACCCTTCCCCCAGGAGTGGAGAGGGAAGGATTTTGTAGTATCCTTCCCCTGGAGTGGGGTGGGAATGGAGATTTTGCAGTATCCTTCCCTGCCATGCCCACCAAGCCACACCCACAGAACCAGTAGTAAAAAAAAATTGGATTTCACCACTGGTCTAGGCCAATAACCATGGTTTCCTAGTTTTAACCATATGGATATGGAAGCTGGACTATCAGAAAAGCTGAACAAAGGAAATTTGAGGTCTTTGAATTAAATGTTGAGAATATCTTGGACTGTAAGGACAACAAATAATTGCATATAAGATAAAATAAAACCAGATTACTTACTGGAAGCACTAATAAAGCGTCAATATTTGGATATTTAATAAGAACGCAAAAGCCATTGAAGAAAATCCTGATCCAAGGAAAAATCAAAGGCAATTAAAGAAAGAGGCCAATAGAACAGAAGGTGCAAATATATTATCACAGATGACATGATCATGAGCTCACATGAACTCAAAGAAACAGTTACTGACAGATAATGCTGGTAAATTATCAAGTCACAACTATCAGAAATAGCTGAACAATAACAGAAATAAGAGAAGGAGGCTCTTTAATTGTTGCTGAACCACTGTCTTTGTTCCTCATCATTTACAGACAAGTTGGAATGCAATAATATGTCAAATACAACATTATTTCTTTACCACATGCAAGTGAACAAATCTACAGTTGAAGTTTCTCAGGGCACACATACTAAACTGCATCAGCTCCAACAGATCATAAACTATCCCAGAAAATTAATAGAAAAACGAGGAATAAACCTAGCACTACAGTGTGAGTTTTATATTGTTATTTTAGGACAGGATTAGTATTACTCAATCAACTATCAATATAATCTGCAGTCAGATAAATAATTAGAAACAGGAACAGTCAAATCATTTTGAGACTGTGCTCATCTGACAGCAAAACCCCACAAAGTATAAACAGGCTGTTTTTCTAAGTAGACACATATTGTATAGGCTGAAAACCTACGATTCTAAGCAATCAATTGGCCTTATTTCCAAGTAAACATATATCCACCATGTAATTAGGATATTGAGTGTGACTGCCAGAACCTTCTTTCTCTGTTGAGGATAAGTACTGTGAATGCACATATGGGTTGTGTTAGTCATGCAGAAGCTGTTAAAATGTTTCAGAGATAAATCTCAGGGATTATACATGGTCATTCAGTTATGAATATTCCTCAAAGGTCTCTGAAATGGCAGAACTTTAGAGCCTCTGCTAATCCTTTACAGATCTGACAAGTGTGGAACTGTGAAGGGCATGATGGCATATGATTTAAGATCCACACTGCAGCATAAGCAGTATTAGTTATGCTGTAGCCTGCTGGATTATTATAACAGCCTGATCTTGTGCATGTTGATGAGAGAGGGAGGGAAATTTGAAGGTTCACAGGATTGAAGCCATCTCAGTCAGGCTTACTTCTGAATATGTGTATTTCAGAATCAACAAAACAAACAAAAAAGGTAGGTGCGTCTTATACTCCGAAAAATACGGTATTCTATGTGTGGACATGAGAGGGAGGGAGGGGAGGAAAGAAGGAAGGACTGATGACCTCCACTTATGGCAGAATTCCATCTGATATTCAAAACAAATGTGTCATCTGCATCTATTTTATAATTAGTGAGTTCAGAAATTACACTAAACCTGAGGTAAAATAATGCAGCATCTTTGAATGTTCTATCCTTGATACCAACTGTGCCTCGCTATTTTAATGCGTAATATTTTAATGCATAATAGTAGCAATAGCACTTAGACTAGACTCATAGTGCTTTACAGCCCTCTCTAAGCTGTTTACAGAGTCAACATCTGGGTCCTCATTTTACCGACCTCAGAAGGATGGAAGACTGAGACAACCTTGAGCCTGGTGAGATTCGATCTGCCAAACTGCTGGCAGCTGGTGATCAGAAGTAGACTGCAGTACTACACTCTAACCACTGCGCCACCACAGCTCAGTAATGATGGAAACTGGTGAAGTTCAGCCCAAATGGCCTTTTGCAACATAATATTGCAAGGCTTCCAGCTGCAGTCCAGTAGTACACCTGTCATAGCCGCTATTTTTCTTTATTGCACCTCAGTGTTTGGCGCTTTGTACCGCAGACCTCGGTGGGACTTTTCCAGCCCAACCATTTTACACATCAGTCGCTCAGCTTCCCAAACGGTTTCTGTATTTAAAATCCTTCTTCGATCCAGTACAAGCAGCCACGTCCTGGGACGTTTCTTCTTCCAGAACAAGGATTGACGTTCACGTGACACACTGAGCCCCCAACTACTAGTCGCGTTGGTAGTAATAGAACTGAAGGAAAGCAGGTGTGGACAATTCAGTGTATTCTGTGAATCGAGAAAAATTGGGCCGCGCAAGCACGCTCCCGAGCCCTCTTTACCTCGGTACTTGCAAACTCACGTTCTTAATGAGACCCACCCACTAGCACCACCAACCAGAACTTAGAAGCGACAGGGTTGCGCTCCACCGCCGCGCAAACAGATACTGCGGCGCGCGGCAAACAGTAGCTATCCGTTGCCGACTCGAGCGCTCCCGTTCGGTGACCGAAATCGCTGCCTCTGAGATGAGCAGCGGATATATGGCGCCCCACCCAAGCGAGGCGAGGCCGCTAAGTAGAGACGCCTTTCGTTTCCATGGCTGCACATGCATATACGCTCAACAAACCGCGCGAGGCCTCCAGGAAGGCCGGGTTTTCCCAAGACACGGGGCGGGTTTTGGAGACGTGGCAGCGGAAGGCGGAATGGGCTAAGAGGAGGCATTATGGCAGGGGGCTGGGCCGGATTCTCGGAGCAGGAGCTTCGGCAATTTCAGGGGCATCGCAAAGGTAACCCAGCGAGGAAAGATGTTAACAGTAGCACTGGTGGAAGCGAGCAGTGGCGTGGGCTGCTTGGATTGGCAGAGAACGGACCGGCTGCGATTCCAGGATTCCCAAGCAGCTCATCGGTTCCTCTCCTCTGACGTCATCTCCCCGGGGTGGGGGGAATAGGCTCCAGTGGTCTGCCAAAATGGGAATAAGACCCCCTTAATTTCAGAGGAGCTTTCTGTAAGAAAAAACATCGGGCGATATGTAGAGAAAGCAAGGATGAACTAGGAGATTTCTGGATTTATCTGCCGCAGGGGAGCTAGCATCATTTGCAAATTTTCGGATTAAGAAAAGGCTATTGCACACTTAATGAATGTAAAAATAGATCGTTGAAAGATTCAGCCCAAACCGAGAACGATTTGGTTAAGATGGTGCATTAGAAACCAAGAGGCCATAAATGCTAGTCCTCCTTTAGGCACAGGAGCTGGGTTCCTTTGGGCCGATTGTACTCTCAGCCCAGCTCACTTTATGAGTTGTGGAGAAAATAGGAGAGCGTGCACCGTTTATGTTGCTTTGACTTATTCAGAATAAAGGTGGGATATAAATCTAATACTGTAAATAAATGCCATAATATAGGGAGAACTATTCTCTTGCATGGTTTGTAAAGCTTTATACAAGTAAACAGGTACCTTTTTTCCCCTACCAGATCCTCAAAATTCTCAGGGGGAGGGGATTTATGGATGAGAACGAGCTTCAAAGAAAGTGCCTTGGCAGAGTAGAACTGGACTCCTTAGCAATTATTTACCCAAGGCCTAAATAATTTCCCAGCCCAAACTCAATTTAAGAAACCAGAGTTTGAGAGTCTCTGGAACCTTGCAGACTTTTCCATCATCTGCCAATCTTAATCTTGGCTGAAGCAACAATTTTCCTAGAAAAAACAAAGAATATAATGATTCTTTTTTCCCAAAGGAAAGTGATACGATAGAGAACTTGTTAGCTTCTGCATGGTTTTTGACTCCAATTTACATCAGCCTGAATTCGTGTGGCTAATGTTCAGGGGAAAATACTGGTATTGTTATTTGGGCAGAGGTAGGGAATGAAGATGCAAAGGACCAATCCCTGATTCATGTTCTTTATTGACACTAATTTAAAAAGAAAAACTGTTGCCATGATGCTGTTCAAAAAACAATTCCAAAATAAAAATGCAAAAGTTCTGCTATTTGTGTAGAAATACCTTCTCATAGATATATGAAAGTATGACAGCAAAGAACTGATGGGCTTAAAGAAAGTTTACCATATATTGCAAATTAGGTCTATGTACGTACTTGTAATGTTAGCAGGAGCTGCAGAAATGTATTTCTTAATACTTTGTGCTAATAATTTGTTTATAATTTTTAAATATCAGTTAGTGCCATGGCATCTTAAAGTACATTAAATAGTTTTTATAAGGGCTAAACTCAGGACATATGATCTCACATGTTTTCTGTTATTTGCTTCCTTGGCAGAAGTGATATTTTTCAGTGGTATAAAACTCATCTAACTATTTGTGCTATTTAGATCCACGAGGACCCCTGTCCAAACAACAGAATCAAAGGCCTTCAGTAAACAAAAGCCGCCAATGTTTGCAGCAGAAAAAGGTGCCTCAGAAGACAGAAGAAACATTGGAATTGCCAGATGGAGCGGCATTGTCACCTCTGGAGAAGGCTGAGCAACAAGAGGCCAGAAATCAACAGGTGGAAGTTGGAATTAAACAGTCTTGTAATAGTGACCCAACTGTAGCAACAAGTCATCAGCTTGTGAAAAAGAAAATGGAATTGTTAGTAAGTCTCTGATAATGTTGCAAGAATGTTACCATCCCTGACACAGTTAATTGGAGATTTGTATAATAAACTGACATGCACATATTTTTTCAATGGTTTTAGGGTATTAGGTAACAAGAACTTTCTAAACTTTCTCTTTTTGTTTTGGAATGTTTTGTCGACAGTGTAAAACTGATCAGTTGTATGTTTTCTGTAATGTCAGGTCACCTATCTCTGTAGAATCTTCATTAATTAGTCAGACTTTGTCAACTAGGAATAATTATTCTGTGATTGCTGTAAATGACCCTTCCTGAGGTTTTACCTTCAAGGTTGACCTTCAAAGGCCCCTCCTCATTTGCAGAGTGAGCATATTGATAGAAGTTCAAGGAAATCATATTCAGAAGTATGAAGCTATGTGCTACTTCTGTTTAAGATTACTCTGAGGGCCCTAATATGTGTAATTTATAGATTTTCTGCCTATTGGATCTTGTAACACTTCTCCTTTCTCTCATCCATACATTAAGATACTATTTGATCATGTAGCCTTCTTGAGAAATTCAGGAATCCTTAGGGAGGATAACTGAGATCTGAAGTATGTCTAAGAGACCTGACTTTGAATCCAGGCTTAGCATTGGAAAAGTTTCTTGGGATTTTTCAAATGTTGAAAAAAAATATTAGATACATAGTTATTTATTACAAAGACTAATTTAAGAAACTTGCTGTATTTTGCCCAGAGTTTCTTGTGAGATGGGTGGCCATATAAATTCGATAAATAAGAGACAAAAAGGAACAGAATTATTTATTGATTCTTTTATTTTGTTATTGTTCAGGCAGGAGAAGTCTCGGTGGGAAATCCTTCAACAGGAGCAGAAACTGATGGAAGAAAAAAATAAGCGCAAGAAAGCTTTCCTTGCTAAAGCAATTGCTGAAAGGTATAGAGTCTTATAGCTGGAAAAACACAGTGCACATTTTGTATTATATATTAGTTAATCAAATCCACTTCATTCTATTTTGCAGCCCTCCTCCTTTAAATATGATAGAAAATAAAGTCTTGTCAAGGTTTTATTTGAATAGTCTTAATTTTAAGTTACTGTGTAACTTTTTTAATATTTTTTTAGAAAGGTGCCTGGGTAGTTAGCTGCATTCAAGTAGGATGTAAATCAGATAAAGACATTTGAAGATATTAATTTCATAAGCTTCATTAGTTCATTCATTAGTTTCGTAAGGGGGCATCAAACTGTTTTTGTTCATGTATCTTGAGTCTTTTACCATGAGTCCTAACCAGCATAGGCAATGGCAAATGATGGCATGAGTTCTAATTCAAAACATCTAAAATGCAGCAGGTTTCCTTTCACAAAGTTACCCTTAGAAAATCCAGGTTGAAAATTGCTAGCTGCTCTTCTTTTTGCAAATGGATATGTGATCTTGAGTACATTTTTTTTAAAAAAAAATATCTTGAAAATAACAGACATCCTTTCAGGGGAATGATGCAGCGTAAATGGAAGCTGTTCAGTGAGTGCTAGAATTGTCAAACATTTAGTTTTCCAATTTTGAGTTTCAGATGCTTATAGTAAAGCTTTTCTCATATTTTAAATTGATTTGTTAGAAGCAAGCATATGATTTGGCAGGGAATATGAAACTTATTAAACTGATGTCTATTTTAAGCACAATTTCTATTTTTTAAATGTTTTTCTATAACTCAAGCTTTTAGGGCTTCAGGCCTGGGTACAGCACGGAAACGGCATTGGTCGCGTTGGTTGATGATCTCTGGAGGGCTCGGGACAGGGGTTGTTCCTCTGTCCTGGTCCTGTTAGACCTCTCAGCGGCTTTTGATACCATCGACCATGGTATCATGCTGCACCGGTTGGAGGGGTTGGGGGTGGGAGGCACCGTTTTACGGTGGTTCTCCTCCTTTCTCTCTGACCGGTCGCAGTCTGTGTTGACAGGGGGGCAGAGATCGACCCCGAGGCCCCTTATATGCGGGGTGCCGCAGGGATCGGTTCTCTCGCCCCTTCTGTTCAACATTTATGTAAAGCCGCTGGGCGAGATCATCCGTGGTTTCGGGGTGAAGTACCATCTGTACGCTGACGACACCCAGCTGTACATCTCCACCCCGAACCACCCCAACGATGCCCTTGAAGTGATGTCCCAGTGCCTGGAGGCCGTACGGATCTGGATGGGGAGAAACGGGCTCAGACTCAACCCATCCAAGACCGAGTGGCTGTGGTTTCCGACGTCCCGATATAGTCAGCTGACGCCATCGCTGGCTATTGGGGGCGAATCACTGGCCCCCACGGAAAGGGCTCGCAACTTGGGCGTCCTCCTGGATTCACGGCTGTCTTTAGAAGAACACCTGACGGCCGTGACCGGGAGGATTTTTCATCAGGTTCGCCTGATTCGCCAGTTGCGTCCCTTTCTAGATCGGGACTCGTTACGCACAGTCACTCATGCCCTCGTCACCTCTCGTCTGGACTATTGTAACGCTCTCTACATGGGGCTCCCCTTGAGGTGCACCCGGAGGCTCCAACTGGCGCAGAGTGCGGCCGCGCGGGTGGTTATGGGAGCAACATGGAGCTCCCATGTAACACCTCTCCTGCGCGAGCTGCACTGGCTCCCGGTGGTCTTCCGGGTGCGCTTCAAGGTGCTGGTTACCACCTTTAAAGCGCTCCATGGCTTAGGACCTGGTTACTTACGGGACCGCCTACTACCATCAACAGCCTCCCACCGACCAGTACGCTCCCACAGAGAGGGGCTCCTCCAGGTGCCGTCGGCCAAACAATGTCGGCTGTCGGCCCCCAGGGGGAGAGCCTTCTCTGTGGGGGCCCCGACGATCTGGAATGAGCTCCCCCCAGAGATACGGAGGATTCCGGATCTGCGCACCTTCCGCCGCGAGTTGAAGACTCTTTTATTTCATCAAGCCGGCCTCGCCTAATTCTTCTCCCTTTAAACTGTAAATTTTAAATTTTTAAATGTATTTTAAAATTATGGGTTTTTAATTAGTATTAATTCAGCCAAATTTATTTAATTCATTTTATTTGATCTTAAATTTTGTATATTTATGTGTTTTATTTCATGGCTGTGCACCGCCCTGAGTCCTTCGGGAGTAGGGCGGTATAGAAATTCAATAAAATAAATAAAATAAAATAAATAGGGAAAAAATTGTAGAGTTTCTTGGGAATCTCTCTTCCCCCTCTGGAAAATAGAATCTGCTTTTGTAAATTACTATAAAAGAACAAATAAAAAAAAATTATTGAAAAAGTTTTTCAAATACAAATTTTTCCCCCTTTCCCCCCCCCTCCCTAACCCCCCTCACCCTCCCCTCCCCCTGTGACTTCTTCATAATAAAACCCAAATTCATAACAGATTATATAATACTTTACCATCCCCTCACTCCATCCCCATATGCTGACCCTTTCTTTCTAATAAGATTATCATATCCCCCTTATACTATACATTTCAAAATGACATTCTACAATAACATTATATAATAACTCCTAATTTAGCATAATAATAAGTCAAATCTTTTATATATATTAATCTAACATTTCAAAACAACCTTCCGCTATAAAACTATATAAATCCTAATTTAACATTTATTCAGTTCATAGTCTACCCATTTCCTTCACCCCCATCGTTATATCTCTTAACTCAGATCTTTTACATATATTCATATCTAAATATAATATCCCTTTTCTTAAACTAAACAATCAATAAACTAACCTGTCTCCACCCACTTTCCTACAAGACTACCATACTTAATAATTCTTAATATCTTTATTCTTCTGCCCACTCCACTAAAAAATATTCCCTTATATAAATAAAATCCTCTTAAAAAGACTTTAGGCTTGTAATCCATATAATATCTTCTGTAATGTCTTTCAGCTGGATTATAAACTCCATCACCCATGTTAGGGTAACATCACATCCTAATTCCAACAGTATATTCGGTATCTTCAATTACCATCTGCCCCCATCAATAACAAATATCTTCATAATAAAAAAACAACAACAACAACCACCCGAGTGACTTTGTATTTGTATTCCATATAGTGTCTGTAGAGGTGTCTTTTATCCAAATTATTAATTCCAACCACTGTAATAGGGTAACAACCAGATCTTCTGCGTGCCCCAATCCCATAACTCTCTTGCCTTGTAGCTCAGCATAAACATAGTATATTTATCAAAGAATCCAAAAAAAGATAGTTCCAATCCATTCAGTTTAAGGCCCTTTTCACATCCCAAAAGTACAGCACTGCAGAGGTCTGTCACTCTCCTCAGGATAATATAAACCAATATTTTGCCGATTATCTTTTCATATATTCAATCATCTCTTAAATAGTTGGCATTGCACTGTTGTTTAGTTTAAAAGTTTTTATTTTTGTGAGACCTGCTTCTTCTTTTCTTGACTTTTTGTGGGTTGGATCTCCATCCTGAATTCCTTTCTGTAAATTATATATCAACTATTTGGCTTTCATGCTGATCTATAACTTGATCTTGTTGGTTTTGCTTTTGTGGCTTAAATCTCCATTCTGGTTCTATAAATTGTATATCATCTGATTGATTTCCATGCTGGTTTGTGACTTGATAAGTCATTACATTAAAATCCAGAGCCGCCTCTCTTGTATTAAATAGTCCAGCTGAGACCTCTGAAAGAGAATCCAAAAGCGGCTCATCTGTAGAGACCTCTGTAACTTGTTGTTTCTTCATTACTTCCACCTCCTTCTGCTTTTCTTGAATTTCTATCTCTTGTTGATTTTGCTTTTTGAGGACCTTGTAGTAAAATTCTTCCGCTTTTTCAACAGTATTTAGCTGATATCTTTCTCCTTGATATCTCAATATTATACCAACTGGAACATCCCACCTGAATGAAATATTTTGTTTTTTTAGCTCAGTCACCAAAAGTCCAAATTTCTTTCTATCTTTTAACATCTTAGGCGGCAATTCTTTATATATCCAGATCTTTCTTCCATACAATTGTGGAGTAGAATTAAAGGATTTTTGCACAATATCATTTCTTATTTCTTTATCTGTGAAGTAAATCACCACATCTCTAGGCAGTTGCCTTTGCTTTGCTTTGCAATCCTCTATAGGCCTTGTCAATCTTACAAGATACCTCCTCAGGATGAACCTTTAAAATCCCAGCCAGAACTTGAGCAGATATTTTTCTTAGATCATCTCTATTATTTTCCTGTAATCCTCTCATTCTGACCGCAAATTCTGTGAGCCTGTATTGCATCATTACAACTTCTTTTTCAATCCCTTGCTTTATATCTTCTGCATTGTTAGTCTCATGACCAGCTTCCTTTTTAGACTTTACTTCTAAACTATTGTCTTGAATATTTATCAAATCATTTTCAATTCTTTGTATTTTATTGTCCAGATTATAAATCTTATCATCAACTTCCTCCATTTTAGACTCTAATAATTTGATATTTGTATCCATCTTTATGACAACTTCTGAAAAAGCATTAGTCACTTTTACTATCTTTTGTTGCAGATTATCATACTTTAATTGTATCATTTCTTTAATTTCCTGCCTTAATTTTTCAAATTTCTGGTTCACAGTCTCATGATATTTTGCCATTTCCTCCTGAAGAAATTCTTTTAAATTAAAACCATTCTGCAAAGTCTGTAGGCTCAGAGCTTGTTCAGATAATTGTGGATGGGGGAGCACCCCCCCCCACTACTTGTTTGTCAAGCTTTATTAGTTTTAACGCCATCCTGCCACACAAAAAAGCTCTTTTTTTTTTAAAGAAAACTTTTCCCCAAACAAGATCAAATACAGATCTCCAAGAAAAAAGAAACTTAAAATGGATATTTTCCTTCTAGTCTAGCCGGCACTGTATATTTCGCTACTATGTAGCTTATTACGGAAGGACTTTCACTTCATAGTAGTGAAATTCAGAAGGAATTTCTTCTCAAGCCTCAGCAGTCGCCATTTTAAACTTATTTTTTCCGTTCAATTAGAAACACTTGTAAAATCATTAAAAATACTTGCGATTTAGGGTCCCAGGTACAAGTCTCGCTCTCTTTAACTAAACCATCTGTTATTTTATTAGTTGGTCCGGTCCCGGCGCCTAGCTCTGCAAAAAAGCAGAGTCCTCCCAAAGCCTGGAGCAGCGGCGAGCGAAAATAGGGAGCCCCGCTCTGCTCGTCCCCAAGAGTAAAAAAAAAAACTCTGGGGACTTCGCAGAGGGCTCTACCTGCCCTCGCCTGCTCTGGCTCGCATTTCCATCAGGAAATGGAGTTTTTCCAGCCGCCTTTCAGATGTAAAGGCGGCTCTTTACAGGCAACGGGGCTGGCGGTCACGGAGGACCGTCTGGTGGCGACGGAAGCCAGACCGGAAGTCAACAAATAAAATTTTTGACTGGCTTTATCAGGCAACCGTATCTTCTATTGAAAAGCATAGTTGTTTATAAGTACAGGTCAAATGCATTTACCTGTTTCTTCCCCAGATCTAAAAGAACTCAGGCTGAAACAGTTAAATTAAAGCGGATTCAAAAGCAGCTCCAAGCTTTAGATGACATGGTATCTGCTGATATTGGGATCCTGAGAAATAGGATTGACCAGGCAAGCTTGGAATATTCATGTGCTCGGTAAGGACTAAAAATTGAGGAATAATGTCAACTTACTAATATTTTTCTTCCTAACAGTGGTATTGTTTGATTTACTACCTTAAATTAAAGTATTTTCTTACCAAAAAAAAATTATTTCATCAACATCTGCTTTCATTATCTTCAAATGTATTTCCTACTGCAATGCTCGTTAGCTCTGCCCTGTTGTTACATTTTGCTAATATATCCTGTGGGCATAAGCAGTTTGAAAAAATGACATAATGCATCCAACGAAAAGCTAAACAAAATTGAAGAAAGCAGCTGTGTTGGTCACAGATCTAATTTGTTTGCATTATGGTTGAAATTGGGACTTATTTAGTCATTCAATAGATGATGAAATATTTCAGTTACTCTCTGTGATAATTGTAGTGCAGAAATATGACTAATTTCAAATATCTTTAGGTTTTTATGTCTTAATTAGTAATATGTTAACTGCCAATTTTAAAAAATCGACTTCCAGTAGGAGATACAGCAAGCAAACAAATAAGAAATGGAATATGTCAATTGCAGCAATACCAATACAAAATTCTGCCCTTGCTAGCACTTTCTACATCTCAGTAGCCATTCAGGTTTTTTTAACTGAGAGTGGCTGAAAGAATGTCAGACTTTAAAAAGTGCAAGTCTTCTACTGAAGCTCAATGGAAACCCCACTATCCCATCCCTGCTACTATTGGCTTTTCCTCTGTTAGATTTACTATTAACTTGATAAAGACTTTTTACAACCTTGTTAGAATAACCCCTGCTAAAATACTATAAAATTAAACATAATTAAATTATTTTTTCAGGAAGCGTTATGATAAAGCAGAATTAGAATATGTGGCTGCAAAACTGGATCTCCAAAAGAAAACAGAAGTTAAAGAACAACTTGCAGAGCACTTGAGCACAATCATACAGCAAAATGAACTCCGAAAGGCAAAGAAATTGGAGGAGTTGATGAAAGAGCTGGAAGTAGAAGCTGATGAAGAGAACCTGGAACTGGAGATTGAAGTAGAGCAAATGTTGCAACAGCAGGAAACAGAAGCTAGAAGGCAAGAGATTGAGATACAAAAGTTTGCTCAGGTTGATGCGCAGTATACAGATTCTCAGACTTTGAGTAAAGGACACGAACATGAAAACCTTAGAAACGTTAATGGAGCAGCTTAGAAGTTCCCAAATAGATGACCAAAGTCACACAGCAAACTCTTTCTGAAAGAAATTATGATTCATCCAGAACATGTCCAATAACATTATTTTTGATATTTGAGTAATAAGAAGCACTGGCATATCATTATATAAGAAGCCTCTGAATTTGTGCAGTTTTCTAGTCTGTATTATCAGTGTGCATGTGTGCGTGCGTGTGCCTATGCATGAGTTATTCTATACAAATGATGTCTTCCATGTCTATCTTCTTCCTTTTCACTGAGAAACCTGCATGTGATCCCTTATGAAGGGGAAAGGGTAATGTTATCTACATAATATTTAAAGTTCAAAACGCCATGCCAGTAGGAGTAAGGAGTTATGTATATCTTATATGAAATTCTCACTACATCCTACATTATTGGCTTAGACACACTCTATTAAGTAACTCATTTTTCAGTGCTCATAAATGAATATAAAAGGACATGGCTGAGCAAATCAGGAGAAAATCTGATTCCTCCAACTGCCAAATATTTTCTACCCTTGTTAGTGATTCTGTAAAAAAAAATGGTTGGACTGTTAATAAATTAAATATTTCTGGACTAAACCTAATTACTGAGCAATAAAAGGGGAAATGACCTTCCAATATTTTAAATATATTATTAATTGAAGTATAAATAAACATTCAGTAAATAAGAAACAAAACACTTTTAAACTCATATTTGGATTCTCAAGATTCTCTGGTGATCTCACCTTTTTATTTTATTCATCTTTGCATGTTTCTTGACCATTCATGTATTGTTGAAGCACTAATCCTTTGTCCTTGCATAATCAGCACATGCCAAATTTCAATAAAAATGTTCCCATTTTTAAAAATTGGGTTAGTTTTTCTTGTATTGCCATGTTATGCAGTTATTGGACTTCAGAGTTAAAGACTTTATCACATACACTAAAATAAAATGATTTCATAGAAAATAGTTAATTTTCTTGTTTTTAAAAATGAAAATGTGATTAAGAATTGTAAAGTCAAATATAGTACAGCATTTTTCATATTATCAAATAGATGGATATTTGATAGATCAAGCTTACTTATATGCTACAGTGTCACCAGAGAAACTAAAGAAGGCAAGCTGTTTGGCATGAAGGCAGATAATGCTTTTGGGGATGAGAAAGATTATTTGAAGCACATCGCTTTTGACAAACTTGTTTCTTTTATTTGTACTGTAGTAAACTATGAAAAGTAGATGAATGTTATTATGGCCCAGAAAAAAGTGGCAGTGCTAAAGAGAAGTCACTCCGAGGTTGTACAAGGACCAAAAAATCTGTCATAAATATTATTAAATGTTCAGTGTGTTTTCCCATAAATGTCTGGGTCACACTGATATTTAAGGTACAAAACAGCAGGATTCAGGGGTCAATATAAATTAACAGCTCTTCTCCTAGCTCAGAATGTGAGTAATGTTTCTTAAACTTTTCAGCAAAGCAAGAAAAGAAAAGACTACAGGTTTCAACAGTAGTTACTTTGCATTCTAGATAGTTTTAAATGAATAAAACAGGCTGTCAAAATCTTTCCAGATCAAATAAATGCACCCTTGCCTCTGCATTCAGTTATTTAATGAAGATATAGGTACTATGCGCACTAAGTGAATCCAGTATTGACAGAGATGGAGCACAAAAATGATTCTGAAACGAAGAAATTGGTCGCATGCTCATATAGCCCCTCAACTTTTAATGGGTGTGGAACAAAAAACAGAATACACAAATCAATTAAAAGAACATCCATAAATATACTTTTATCAACACATCCACACGGCTCCATTAACATCCTGGCTTTGGGAAAATGCCAGATCTTGAAGGCATACTTGATGGTCAACAAGGTTGAGCTGTTCCATAAGGCACTGGCCAAGAAAGAGAAGGCAGGCTTCCTGAGGTAACATTGCCCACTTTAGCAGATCTAGTGGAACAGACAAAAAACATCGAGGACAGGAGTCACACAAGTAAATTGGCCCTGCAACGTAAGGCTTTAAAGATGACAACTAGCATTTAGAATTGCACCTGAAGCCTACTAGGAGCAAATTCAACTTACATAGCAGTAGTGTTACCTAGACATAGGTAAGACAAAGAGAAAGCACACCACATCATACAGCTGCTTTTTTAAAAAAACATGGAAGGATGTGAATATTTTGCTATATAGCTGGATTCTTCCCAACTATGCCCTTTCCTGGATTGTGAAGCCCTGTGCTCAGTCACTCATGACCCATCATTCAGTTGGATTTCTGCAATGCGGTCTACATTGGGGCTACCCTTGAAGAGTATTTGGAAACTACAGATGGTACAGAATGCAGTGGTGCTGGTGCAGACAATTCAGGAAGCTTCCGTAGTGGTACATATAACACTGCTGTTATGCGAACTGCATTGCTTCAAATTTGCTTCCGGGTCCAATTCAAGACTTTAAAGTCCTTCATGGCATGAGAGTAGGTTAATTGAGGCATCATCTCATCCCAATGTGACTAGCCTGCCCTACTCACACTGGCAAAAAGGGCCTTCTTCAGACCCTATCAGCCAAAGAATTTCACCTGGCAAGATAAATAGGAAGAGCCTTCCTGGCCAAGCCCCTGCCCACTGGAATATCTTGCCTTCCAAGGTAGATCCGACTTCACCCTTTTAGACTTCTGGAAAAACTTTAAAACTTGGCTCTACTGGATCATTTGGATCCCCAATGGGGACATGCTACCTTGAGGTGGTTGATTGAATGAAAAACAGACAATGCTCTTGGTTTTAACTGTTACTTAATTGTTGAAAGTCTTAATTATAACATTTTAATGTTTTCATACCTAAGTTTTCATTCTATTGTAAGCCGCACAGAGTTACTTGGAATAGTAACATGGTTGGCATATAAATTTAATAAATAAATGCAGAAACCTCTGCTTTACATGTACCCTTTCCTTGCTTGCAATCAACATGGAGCCACTAGGTTTTCTATGAATGGAGGTGCAGTATACCAATCATGTGTCAGTGACTGATGGCTTGCATTTTAGTACTTGTTTCTACTAAATGCTGGCTGTGAAACATACAATTTGGCACTTTTTTCTGTTTGTCACAGTGTATCTTCCATAGATTTGGGGATAATTTTTACTATGACAAGTGAGATACAAGTTTTACAAATAAGCAAATATTTTATGGTATTTCCCCTGTTAGATGTACATTGAGCATTAAGGAATTTTTTGTAATTCCTATCTCAATGGATATTGATTTTCACTTAAAATTTATTCTTATTCATTCTTGGTTTTGTAAAACCCAGATCTTTTCCAAAGTTCTATTAAATTAATATGTTGTTTTTTGTTCATGTTCTTCCCTTGTACCTTAGCATCAATTTATAACTCTCATCATCTGATCTAGAGAATAGTAAATAGTAAATCTATGGGAGAAAGAAGATTAGTATTATATCTTAATTAATATTCAAAATACCTGGTCAAACTATCTTAATTTTAATAAATCAAAAGGAATATATATATATATTGAACAGGTTATCAAAGATGTCTCTAGAATAGAATTCCAACATCAGGAAGACCATGACACAATAACATCACTCTATTCCAAGTGGATAAAAATACCAAACATCTGGCTGACTATGTATGTAACCAGATATAAGAATAACAACAATGACCCCTTGACCATTGACCTTTGGGGGTCAATATTGACTATTTTGGGGGAACCCTGTTTTAAATGGATAGAATAAAAATATCAGGGAACAGTGGATACATATAGGATGGAAATGCTTAACTATGTATTATACACAACATCAATAAGTGCATATCAGCTGACTCTTTGCAGCTAACAACTGTGGTGACTTACTATATTCTTGCTCTAAATGTAGCTCTGCTGCTCACCCCTAATAAATGAAAAGCTGAACCTAAAGTGGATACTGTTAGAATCTTACATGTTCTTGATCTGTACCTGATACATTGTCCCCAAAGTATCTGCAGAGTAAGATTATAAAAAGCCACGTTGATGGGCACAGCCATGCAATTTAACCTCTGCACATTTTATGTGACCATAAAAAAGAGGAGAAACTTCAATCACACAATTGTGGCTACCATCTTAACTTTTTGACCATACCTTGTGGACACCATTACACTGTCCTCTGTATTCATGTAGCATCCATAAAAAAAGCCAATCTATTCCAATACCTTACTGAGAGGCAGGTTCAGCCATCAGCCATTTATCTTCTGGAAGTTCCAACGTGTCCAGACCAATACCTAAGCAGAATCAGAGTAGATATATTCAGGATTTACTTGATTATGGCACCCAAAGACGAAAAGGGAATAAATACAAGCACTAAAATAATTAGAAATAATGTCTTTGCCAAGCCATCCTCATTAAATCTGCTGTAGCTCTAATTGTATTATATACCGGGTGGGGACTACAAGATTCAAATATCACCTAAATGGTAGAAAATATTTTTTAAAATTTAATTTATATACCCACCCACCTCAGATATATGATGCAGAAAAATCTAACACTGTTGCCATCTAGTGATCTCACTTTTGCAGCCTGGATCTTGAAGCCCTAATTAATTTTAATGTTTGTAACTCTCCCAGAGTTATCTCTAGGCGATATGGGTGGCAAACAAGTCTAATAAATAAATAAAAATTTGGAACAGAGTGTTTTAGAAACAAATCCTTTCCATTGCAATAAAGTATTTATTTTGAAAGCAAAGCAGACCAATTTTATTTTTTTATTTTATTTATTTATTTATTTGTTTGTTTGTTTGTTTATTTGTCAAGCATATACAGTATAAGTAACAGGTAAAAGTATAAACATAATTTGAATACATGAAAAGAGTAAGAGTAAAAAGGAACATTAGGACAGGGATGGTAGGCATGCTGGTGCATTTATGCACGCCCCTTACAGACCTCTTAGGAATGGGGTCTACAGTAGACAGTCTAAGGTTAAAGTTTTGGGGGTTTGGGGAAGAAACCACAGTCAGGTAGTGCATTCCAGGCACTGATCACTCTGTTACTGAAGTCATATTTTCTGCAATTGAGTTTGGAGCGGTTTACCTTGATTTTGTATCTCTTATTTGCTCATGTATTGTTGTGGTTGAAGCTGAAGTAGTCATTGACAGGTAGGACAGGTAGGACATTGTGGCAGATAATTTTATCTACTACGCTTAGGTCAGAATGAAGTCGGAATAGTTCTAAGTTGTCTAAGTCCAAATTTTAAAGTCTGGTGGCATAAGGTATCTGCTTGCGGGTAGAGGAATGGAGGACTCTTCTCATGAAATATCTCTGGATTCTCTCAATTGTATTAATGTCCGATATGCAGTGCGGGTTCCAGACAGATGAGCTGTATTTGAGAATTGGTCTAGCAAATGTTTTGTATGCTCTAGTTAGTAGTACAATATTACTAGAGAAGAAGCTATGTAAGATTAGGTTAACAACTCTTAATGCCTTTTTGGCAATGTTGTTACAATGGGCTCTGGCACTTAGATCTTTAGAAATGAGAACTCCAAGGTCCTTGACAGAGTGAGGGTCATCTACAAGGTTATGTATGACTGAGAAGTGATATACTGAAAGGCAGGAAATTGGAGGAGGGAACCATCACTTTGCCAGTTATGACTGGAACCTCTGCCAACTAGAATAACAATAACTAGAATCTGACAAAATAAACATAGGAGAGTTAATGTTATTTTTGAAAATAATTTAATTAACAGTTTTAATTAAAATAATAAAAGACAATACAGACTAAAAAAGAAAAGGGTGCAAGAAAAAGTCTTAAACATCATGTTAACTCTAAGCAAATCCAATACACATTTTTCCAGTTCAGACAGCCAGTCCAAAATAAAAAAGCCCCACTCCAAATAATGTCACATTTTAACCTTGATCAAATAAAGTGGCTTTATATTCCTTATTTTTATGTGGAAACAATCTTGCTCTTTAATCCATTCAGATGATTGTTGATCCTTGTTTTGAATTTCTTCAAAACTTTAAACATCCTGCTTTGTAAATCCAGCAAAAATAAGATATTCTAATTGCTTTCTGGAATTGTCATTTTTATTTCCTTCTTAATTTTTAAAATCTCATCCATTTTTTTAATGCTTAATGACAAATTCATGTTCATCTTGTTCTCAGATAGACTTTGTTGCATATCTTTTTTCTGCAACATCTTCAGAGAAGAGACTGTTCCCAGACACAACACAGCTGATGTTACTGATTCAAAATCCTGATGCAGTTCCTCAAAAATGTCTCTAAATGCTACTTTAAGTAGCTTGTTTTATTATTCATCCAATATTGAAAAGTTTTTCTTTCCCATGAAAATACATTTATTTTTAAAAATTAATTTCAAAGTCTTAATATTCAAAATTCAATTTCCCCCCCCAAAAAATTTGAATTTTTAATCTTCTTTAAAATTTCTATACCCAAAACATTGTCTTGCTTTTTGCTGTTTACTTTAAATTCTTAAACGTACATCTTCATTTTTCTACAATAAGGATTGAAGGTACTCATCTGTTATTTTCAGTCTGGTCACTTTAAAGATGTCTAACTTCTTTAAAGCAATTAATGTGCAATTTCTGAAAGTGATTAGCAAGGGTAGTGCAGTTTCCTCTTCAAAAACAACCATATGGAGCACAGCTTGGACTATCATGCATCTTCTTGTTGTCCATAGTCGAAGGAGTAGTAGAGGATGCTGGAAGATGCAACTTCCAGTTTTCAGAATGATGAATGCACCCTCCTGTTCATGATGCCATCTCTTGATGTACCTGGTCAATCTCAAATATGTAATAAGCAGGGCGCTTTAGAAACAAATTGGAAAGATTGCTGAAGTTATGTTTGTTTATCAGGGTTTCTAGTTCAGTTTCAAGACAATACATGTACAATTGCCACTTCCACCCCAATATTCTGACTTTTTTTTGTTTGCTATAGGACATTGAACATTGAATATATGGGAGCCTGAGCATACGGACAAGGTGGAAGCAACAATGAATCTATCATCCCCACCCACCCTTCTTCTCACTTTAATATATTTTCTATAGTAGATGTTGAAAATTGAAACTTTGCGTGAGAAATTTCATTTTCTTTACTGACGCTTTACTTGCCTTGATCTCAAAATTAATAACCTGAAAAGTTCTAATTCTGTACTTTTTTCTCCTTCATAATAAAGCAGCTTCTGTGCCCTTCCTCTCCAATTTTCTTCAACACAAAAATATTTTTTTTTGCTCTGCATTACCTCCAAAATCTTTTAAAAGTTACTAGACAGTGCTATTTTTTTCATAAAGGGGGGGGGGGGGGAGAAGGGGGGGGGGGGGGGGGGAGAGAGTGAGAGTGAGAGTGTGTGTGTGTGTGAGAGAGCTATGTGATGAGGTAGGAAGTATTCACTTTCTGTTTTTTCTTCCCCTCTTGTACCCTCCAGGTCTGTTGTGCATCTCCTTCCTTAGATCTGGCAAGAATCAGATGGCATGTGCCCACCCATCTCAGAATCGAGAAAGAATGTGATGTAATGTCATTCATCAGAAAAGTCTCATTTGCTAAATATTATGATTCTGGAGAAACAGAAAATCTAAAAGTTATTTCAAAACATCAAAACATAAGGAATAAGAGGGCAACGATGATTTCCTGTAAAAAATCGGATGCATTTTTAACAAGGCTGCAACTTTTATTCATTCTGAAGCTTTCTGAAGGTAATGTACTCTATTACAAGTTATGTTGATTAATTTGTAGGGAAGTTAATTGGTGGGAGAGAATCAATGCCACCGATTTTTTGGGGGGAGTGCCATTTTGAGTCTCTTGTGTTACTAAAATAGGCAATGAAAAAGATATTATATAGAAAATATTTTACTTCTAGCAAGGAACAATTGATTGTAAGCCCAGATAAAAATATGTGACAATTTGCAAGAAAGTTGATCATGTTACTTTTTTTACAATATTGTAATCCCTTTAAAGATGAGTTTCAAAGTCCACTCGGAGACTCCTCATTGTCATTAATGGCAGACTGAAGAATTTTAATGAATTTAATCTATAACAAACACACACTCTCACACACACATTTTTTTTAACTTTTCATTATTTTGCAAATGGTCGTTAAATGTGGCAGATACCAATTTTCTAAGAATTTTTCCTACCACTACTAGCGTAAGATCACTCTGGCTCCCCAAATTGGTTCTAAAATATATCAGTATTTATAACAGATTCTGTCTGGCATAGAGCTGGAGTTGAACTAAAAGTTTGAATCCTCTCTCAGTCACCAAGTTTACACAGTGGGTACAAGTGAAGTAGAGCAGCATTCACGAGATTCCTGAAAGTCGAAATAAGAAGGAATCATCCAGGCAGGTAGCTGGTGTTAAGATATATAATAAATAATTACTAAGATATCCAGTCCATTGCTGAATTGGTCCAATACAATAACATTTTGTATCTCAAGTGATGGTAATAAAAATCAAAATATGAAATGCAAACTTTCAGGTTACAGTCTTCTTCAAATAAAAATGGAGAGAAAAGCTTTTCAGCAAGGGATATAATGGTAACTTAAATTCTGTATACAAGTTATTTTATTCAAATGTTGATGGAAAAGAAATTATTGTAAACTAATTAGGATTGTTTCTTGTATAGGGTACTGTGTTCTGTTCACAACAAGGTGAATTGTTTTGGCTATTCTTCTGGAAATACAAAAACTAGCAGCTAATTATATAATATGTGGTAAAAATACATTGTTAATGAAGTGAAGAGAGATCTGTTTTTGATTATCTTAAACCTCTTAGGAAAACCTTGATGCCTGAATGAAAAGACAATATCAGACCTTGCCCTTCCTTTCTTTCTATTTTTGCCCTTCCTTTCTATTTTTATAAACTAAGCATATCTAAATATCTGATTTATCTATATGGTTTAGTGACACTGGTTTTAAAGATGGGCCACTTTTTCATTAAAGCTGAGGCTTGAAGGGCTGAAGACAGTAGCAGCATTCTTGAAGAGTTCCTGAGTGAAAGATATGGCTGCGTCTTCTTTATTAGGATGAATAAAGACTCTAAAGACAATGCAAGAGGAAGGCAGCTATGAAGAGCCTTAAGGAGATGCTCCAAATGTGATATCAGTGACACAGGAGGTGCATTTTCATGATTTCATCCCACTGCAATATTAAAAAGCTTGGTATCAGGTGCTCCTCCCCATCTGCTCCTTATCTCAGTTAAGCCAAAATGGGAAAGGTCCTATGCAAATGGAAAATTATGTCTCTAAGGTAATAACAATATCATAGGATGAAGCTACTGGACAGTGGTTTCTTGGCAGCTTGATTAGCATTTATGAGATTTTGGTATTTTTGCTGGATTTGCTAGGGTACTTAATAAGTACCCTAGTATGAGTATTAGTGGATAGAGATAGGAAGAGAACCACCGTAGAAAAGTGCCTCTCACTCCTAGCCGCTCCAGTCGGCGCAGCAAGATACCATGGTCAATGGTGTCAAAAGCCGCTGAGAGAGCTAATAGAACCAGGATAGAGGAGCAACCCCTATCTCAAGCTGTCCAGAGATCATCAACCAATGTGACCAATGCCATTTCAGTGCTGTAACCAGGCCTGAAGCCGGACTGGAACAGATCTAAGTAGACAGTTTCATCCAGGTACTGCGGGAGTTGCTGTGCCACCACACTCTCAACAACCTTCGCCACAAAGCAAAGGTTGGAGACAGGACGGTAGTTTGCTAGAATAGCCGGGTCCAGAGAGGGCTTCTTGAGGAGGGGCCTCACCACCACCTCTTTCAAGGTGGAAGGCAAGAAACCCTCACGCAGAGAAGCGTTTATAATCCTCTGGAGCCAGCCTCGTGTAACCTCTCGGGAAGCCAGTACCAACCAGGAGGGACACGGGTCCAATAAACATGTGGTTGCATTCAACTTCCCCAGTAACCTGTCCACATCTTCAGGGGTCACAGGGTCAAACTCATCCCAAATAACATCCTCAAGACTCGTCTCCATCACTTCGTCTGAACTTACCCAGTCAGAGTCCAAGTCTTCCTGAATTTGAGCGATTTTATTGTGTAGATATTGTGCAAAATCCTCAGCTCGATCTTGCAAGGGGTCTTCCCATGTTCCTAGATGGAGGAGGGAGTGGGTCACCCTAAACAAGGCGGCTGGGCGATTATCTGCCGATGCAATAATAGGGAGAAAATAGTTATATTTTGCCACTGCTATCGCCACTAAATAGGTCTTAATATATGACCTCACTAGTGTTCGGTCAGATTCGGAATGACTGGCTCTCCAACTACTCTCTAAGCGTCTTTTCCGGCGTTTCATTTCCCTCAACTCCTCGGAAAACCACGGAGCCGGGCAACTTCGACGCCGGGTCAGAGGCCGCAAAGGCACAACCCAAGGCACCCAATCCAAGGCACCAGCGGCCATCCTATCCCAGGTTGCCGCCAGGTCTTCAATCGAGTTGTGAGCTAGAGTCTCAGGAAATGGCCCAAGATCCATCTGAAATCTGTCAGGATCCATCAGGAGCCTGGGGCGGAACCATTTAATCGGTTCCGCCTCCCTGCAGTGGGGTGTAGCGGACAGAAAGTCAAGCCTAAGGAGAGAATGGTCTGACCATGACAAGGGTTCAATGACTATATCCCCTATATCTAGGCCATTCAACCACTGGTCAGATACAAAAATCAAGTCCAGAGTGTGTCCCCCCGTGTGAGTAGGGCCATAAACTAACTGGGTCAGGTCCATGGCTGTCATGGAAGCCATGAACTCCCGAGCTGCCTCAGATGTTTCACCGATGGACGGCAGATTGAAATCTCCCATGACAAGAAGCTTAGGAGTCTCATCCCTGCGGTGCTTATATTTTTGGATGCGGAAAAAGCTTTTGATCGATTAGATTGGCAATTTTTATTGAGACTGGTTAATAGGATGCCATTTGGGAATTGCTTTATGCAGTCCATAAAAGCAATATATCAGGAACAGACAGCTCAGATAATTGTTAATGGCAGTTTGACAGAAACTTTTAAAATTGAAAAAGGTACGAGGCAGGGATGTCCTTTATCGCCATTATTATTTATATTAACTTTAGAGTTGTTGCTAAACAAAATACATAATATAGATGAGATAGAGGGAATCAAAGTTAGAGACTATGAATATAAGGTACGGGCATTTGCAGATGATTTGGTTATGACCTTAACTCATCCAGTGGAATCAGCAAAGGTTTTGATGGATATAATGAAACAGTATGGTCAAGTATCTGGGTTTAAAATAAACATTGGAAAAACAAAGATGATAGTTAAAAATATGACAACAAATCAAAAAGAGGATTACAAAGGGTAACGGGATGTGAAATAGTAAAAAAAGTTAAATACCTAGGAGTTTATATTGCATCTTCTAATGGTAAATTGTATAAGTATAATTATGAATTGATATGTCATAAAATACAAGCTGAAATGGATAAATGGAAAAAATTACAACTGTCCTTGTTGGGTAGAATAGCAGTTATAAAAATGAATGTTTTACCTAGGTTTCTATTCCTCTTTCAAATGATACCAATACTAAAAAAGGATGCCAATCTGGGAGAATGGCAGAAAGGTATTAATAAGTTCGTATGGCAAGGTAAGAAACCAAGGATAACATTGAAAATAATTCAGGATACACGAGAAAGAGGAGGATTGAAAATGCCAAATTTAAAATTGTATTATGAAGCAGCTGTTTTATCAGCAATTAGTGATTGGATTAATTTAACAAATGGAAGGATATTGAATATTGAAGGGCATGATCTGGTCTATGGTTGGCATGCTTATTTAGTGTATGAAAAAAGGGTGGATAGAGCATTTAAGAGTCATATACTGAGAAATGCTTTATTGCGTGTCTGGAAGAAATATCAATATAAGTTAAATGAAAAGATACCTATATGGACAGCACCCAGGCACGCAATAGAGAACACGAGTATAGAAAGTAGACAGGATGTAATTACATATAAAGATATTCTCATTATGGAGGGAGGTATATTAAAATTAAAACCTGTGAATGTGTTGAAAGAGGAGAAAATAATTCAAACTTGGTTTCAATATGTACAATTACAAGCCAGATGGAGAAAAGACCAGAAAATTGGTGTTATACAAAGTGATGAAAATTTAATTAAACAAATTAGAGACCAAAGTCCAATGCACATAAAAAGATTGTATAACATATTGATAGAGATGGACTCGGAAACAGAGCTAGTTAAGGACTGTATGATAAAATGGGCGCAGAATTTTGAACAGCCAATAATGATGGAAACTTGGGAAAAAATATGGGTGATAAATGTGAAATTTACTAAAGCGCAAAATTTAAGGGAGAACTTTTATAAAATGTTTTATAGATGGCATCTAGATCCAAAAAAGTTATCTCGTATGTATCCGAATGTACAACCAAAATGTTGGAGATGTAATTGTGAGGATGCCACTTATTTTCACATTTGGTGGACATGTAAAAAGGTTAAAGCGTTTTGGATAAAAATTGGGTGGATTTTACAAAATATTCTTAAAAAGAGGTTGAAATTTACACCACAGCTGTTTCTGCTGGGTATAGTTATGGACTGTACAGTTATTGAGACTAAATTGATTTTGAATTTAATAACTGCAGCAAGACTGTTGGTGGCACAATATTGGAAGAAGCAAGATTTACCTACAATCCAAGAGTGGACAATGAAAGTTACAAACCTAGCGGAAATGGCAAAAATCTCGGCGTACTTGAAGGATCATTCAAATGAAAGATATTTAAGAGACTGGAGAAGATGGATAGATTATATTCAAAATAAATACCGGAATAAGAAATTGCAGATAGGTTATGAATGACTATATAGATATTTGGTGTGTCTTTAAGTAATCAAGTTAGAGGGGTAATTAGGAAATTGAAGGAACAAGAGATGTGGAATGTTATAATTATTTAGACTAGGATTGATCATGATTGTTGAAGGTTATACCCTGTAATTTGTTCTGGGAAGAGGAGGGGGGAGGGGGGAGGTTGGGGCAGGGAAGGGGGGGGGATATGTAAACTTTTTGTAAAACTTTTCAATTAAAAAAAAAAAAAGAAGAAGCCTAGGAGTCTCAACCGCCACCCCGGCTATTACATTGAGGAGATCAGGCAGGGCTGCTGCTACGTGGCAGGGAGCCAGGTACGTAATCAGCAGGCCCATCTGTAACCCATGACCCCACTTCACGAGGAGGGACTCACATCCGGCTGTCTGAGGAACAGTGGCTTCCCTAGGATCAAGACTCTCCTTTATAATAACCGCCACCCCTCCACCCTTACCCTGAGCCCTTGGCTGGTTGGATGATATGGTTGGATGAAGTATTATTATACTTCTTAGTTAACTGTGTCTTTCAGAGAACATTAAAAAATGGGGAGAAAAATCCTTTCTGTCAAAAAGCAACAAAACCTACAATATAAATGTCAACAGAACAAAAAAAAAATGTAGTCTCCTTTTCAACATTTCTTAGAGACTCTGACCAATTGAAAGATAACCTGCCAAGAAACATTTCTAACATGCAAAAAGGGAAGGGAAATCCTAAACAGTAAAGCAGTTGCGCAATTTTTAAAAGATATTGATCATACTTGCTTTTCCTCTGAAAGGTTTAGACAATATGTGATATTTTATATTGTAATGCATGAAATACACTCTTTGAAACTTTAGATGAACACAAAAATACTTTTTTTAAAAAAGGCAAAAAATCAATGAAGTTAAATGTTCTCAGGTACATCCAACTGTTTTCTTCTCTACAAAATTAAATTTATAATTATTGCAAGAGCTGCACACTTTATGCTCTTTTAGATACATTTATTATTTTAACTTTATACCATTTAAATATAGGATAAAATTTAATGAGAGGCACAGAAATGGAGAGGTAAGCAAGGAAAGGAGATTTATTGACAGAAATGAAATGTGAGGAATAAAAAAAATAGAGCTCTGACTTACTATCCAAGGGCAGAGGAAGATAATAGTGGAGAAAAAGAAAGTTATAGGAAAGTGAAATAGAAAAAAAATGAAGAAATGAGGGAATATTTAAGACGATGAACTTCTTCTCAACTGAAGTTTTAGCTCTATTTATTTATCAGCATTTTGCAGACCAGTACAGATAAATTTACAGGTCCTTTTTCTAAGTTGCTACATGTGATACAGCCTTCAAATCCAAGTCTTATATGGGCAAGAATATATGTCTGCTTCTCTTACAGTCATTTATAGACTGTTCAAAGATACCTATTTTTGAACACATCTTAGATGTAAAATCCAATTTTATTTGTGCATTTTCATACATAGCACTCAATTTGAATTTTAAGCATACAATTTATTTGCATTCAGTTCAAGATAAGAAGTAGAACAAATTTTAAAATAGTATTTTAAAAGAAAATATATCCCAATATCCCAGTCTACCATACAATCAAATGTTTCACCCCTGTCCTATCACAGAATCTATTTTGTTCCAACTTGAAAGGAAAGGCTGCCTCTATAGATTTATATTGACCTGGATGGATAACAGATATTCCCTTAATTACCTACAAATCAGACAACGGTCATCTTTTCTTTGAACTGCTGCTGAAGCTAGATGGGAATGCTAGTTGGATGCATCTGGATGTTCTCAAAGTCCCCTTTAGCTCTGATCATATCAGCAAACTGATTGCTACTCTTTGGGATATGATCTCCATTGTGGAGATATTTGGAATACATGTCTTGTATTCTCTTGTAGAGATGTTTAGTTGTGGCATAACTAAAGATGGACCTTGTTCTCTAATTTGAACAACAAAACTTTCCTTTTCCTTTTCCCCTTCTCCACTTTTCTTTCTCTGCATTTCTTTAAGGCTGTTTTCATGTTGAATGGATACCTGGGAGGAATACTTCATTATTTCTAACAAAGAAAAGGCAGTCAAAGTTTGTAAACTCACAAGAAGGATTCATAAATAAGTGAGCCGTATCTAAGTTTTTCTCAACATGTTTGTTAATCCAATGACCTCATTTGGGAAGAAACAATCTGCTGGACATACTGAATTTTCTTTTCTTGCATACCATTGTGTTCTGCTACTCTTCAGTATCATATAGTTTATCTCATAAAGAAAGACTACTGATATGGCAAAATATCAGAGCCTGAAGTAAAAACATATTTTCGAAGGATAGCTGAATTATTTTGTG